AGTCTCCTGCCTCAGCCTCCCAAGTAGCTGGGACCACAGGCGCCCGCCACAACGCCCGGCTATTTTTTGGTTGCAGCCGTCATTGTTATTTGGCGGGTCTGGGCTGGATTTGAACCTGCTACTTTAGGTGTATGTGGCTGGCGCCTTAGCCACTTGAGCCACAGGCGCCGAGCTAGAAATCCCAATTTTAAAAGCCAGGTATTCTCTCAGTGATACCTGGCAGGCTTCCAGGTGTGATCGACTTTTAACCCCTGTCCTGTAAGAACTTATAAGAACAGAGAGATAGGTAATAGGTTGTGGTTTTCCAGTGAAATGGATGGCAAGCTGCCCTGTGATGGGGGATCTCCTTACCATAGCTTCTGTTTTAACTGTAATAGTTTTACTGCTTACAGTTGGATGTGGAACTTTACACACACACACACACACACACACACACACATTATATTATCACCATCTTTTGCAGCAATGTAGCAAAGTGAGTATTATCTCTCCTTTATAATCGAGGGAAAGGGATCTGGGTAACTAACTTACTGAGGGACACACAGTTAATAATGCATGAGGAAAGGAAATAGAATATTTTTCTGTGGGTCTAGACTCACAGAAAGTGGACACAAACCACTTTCCATTGTCTTGTAGATTTTCTTGCCTCAGTGGCCTTAAGTGCCACCTCTGATTTGATTCTCATTCATCTGCTAGAGGGCTTCAAGAAGACTTTCTGCTCTGAACTGGTCCTTGGAGTGGACAATTTAGAGCAGCGGTTCTCAACCTGTGGGTCATGACCCCTTTGGGGGTCTCCTGCATATCAGATATTTGCATTACAATTCATAACAGTAAAAAAAATACAGTTATGAAGTAGCAATGAAAATAATTTTATGGTTGGGGGTCACAACAGCATGAGGAACTATATTAAAAGGTTGCGGCATTAGGAAGGTTGAGAACCAGTGATTTAGAGGATTGCTTACAGTTCAGAATAGCCAAGTCAAGGCTTTGAGAATCAGGTTAAGTATAAGCAGGATGAATGTGAACAGACAAAATCCTGTACCTCTAATTATTATGACTTACTGGTTTGTTTCCAGGTGTTTTGAAGTCCTCTGCATCTACTTTCAGTCAGGCCAAAATGAAGAGCCTTATGTCAGCATCACTAAGAAGCGGCAGATGCCAAGAAATGGCCTCTCTGAAGAGATTGAGAAGGAGGTGGGCCAGGCAGAAGGCAAGCTATTTACCCACCGATCTGCATTCAGCCGGGCTTCAGTGATCCAGGCTTTCCTGGGCTCAGCTCCCCAGCTGACTCTACAGCTGTACATAAGCATCATACAGCAGGATGTCACTGTCGGAAGAAGTATGTATATATATATATTTTTTAATTTCTGTCTGTATTTGAGGATCAAAATGGAAAGCCATATATACTGTTTATTTTATTTCAAGTGAAATTTATTCATGGAGGCATTCAGTCCTGAATCTGCTCTAGTTCTATGCTCAAAACTTAGTGAGTTAAAATAACATTTATTTTGGATAGCGCCTGTGGCTCAAAGAAGTAGGGTGCTGGCCCCATATACCGGAAGTGGTGGGTTCAAACCTGGCCCCAGCCAAAAACTGCAAAAAAAAAAAAAAATATATATATATATATAAAATAATAATATTTATTTTGCTTATGAATCTGCATTTGGGGCAGGGTTTCAAAGGGATACCTCACCTATGCTCCACTGTGGATCAACTGGGGTGGCTCAAAGATGGGACCTATGATCCAGCATAGGCACGTTCACTCATATGTCTTGATGAGGGTCTCAGGTCTTTTCCATTTGATCTCTCAGTGTGGGCAAGCTTAAGCTTCCACACAGCATGATGGCTCTTTCCAAAGTGAGTGTCCTAAGAGTGAGAGAAGTTCAAGTAGAAGCCATATCACTTTTTGTAATACAGCCTGGAAAGTCATGCACTTATGCTGCCTTCTCTTTGTTAAAGGAATCACTAAGTCCTGCAGATGTTCAAGGGAAGAGGAAGAAAGTAAACTCTGACTTTCTTTGGGAAGTGGAAGGGTTTAGGAACATCATACGGGACCAAAATGCCATTGTGGCCATTTTTACAAAAGATAGTTTGCCAGAGGCTAAAAATACCTGTATAGCTTCCAGAGGCTGGTTCTCTTGGGATTTCACTTCTGTCTTTCAGTGATAGTTCTAAACTAGCTGAGATAATTGGTTTAATAGCTTTATGGAGAGTAGAACAGAGCCACTTTCCTGTCTTAGAGTTCCAATAGGTTTATCAGCTTTTAAGTGAACACAGTTTTCTACACTTTGGGCTATTCTCATTTCATCAAGTTGTGAGCAGACTTTGGTTAAGTCAGGGTCCCCCCCAAATCCTCTATTTGCATTGGACACAGTGAAAATCCTTCAAATGATAAAGGGAAATCCTCCCAAATATTATAGGTAAATCAAAACTAGACATTCTGATAAGTTTTGCTATAGATCCACAAAATGATTTAAAAGACTTAAGCTGAAAAAAATGCATATTTAAGAAAACATTTAAACTGGAATTAAAGAAACACTGTTGTTTATTTCACTGTGCATTTTAGAGTGCCTATATTTTAGACTGGCAAAATTTCTTAATTTGTGGTGGGTTCACAGTATATTTGCATATTAAAGCTGTCTTCCTTATCCAGGTTACTTGAATATGATTCTTAAGGTATGAGTCAGGATCTAAGTTAGAGGGCTTGAACCTTGGTGGATTAATATTTATATGAAAATGTCTCCCACAATCCCTTTTAGACAGTAGGTGCTATTGAAAGGAAAAAAACTATATTAAAATTATAATCCTCAGTATCTACTGACAACATTTATTATCTTACATATGGTATCTTGTATCTCTTGTAATTACAGAAGTCAAATGTGACTTGAGCATCACAACTTTAATAGAGTTTTTTCTTTTCTTAATATGTGTGTGTGTATATTTTTTTGGCATCCTTTGTTCTCTAAGGACTTAGAACTGGAATGGGTTTTGACCAATGTGAGTCCTCTGCATGCCTCAATACCCTTTTCCCAGTGTATTACTTTTTCCACGAAGCAGGGACACAGCAAGAAAACAGATACAGTAATAGCCTGTTTGATTTTTACAAGTAGATTCAATTTTTTCCACAAGTTTTTGATAGTGAAGACTGTCCTATAGTTGAGAGATTGGCAAACTATAACTCATGGGCGTAATTTGAGCACTGCCTCCTTTTGTAAATAAAATTTTATTGGAGCACAGCTGTGCCCTTTCATTAATGTATTGTCTGTAGCTGTTTGGATGCTGTGGGAACAGAGCTGAGTAGCTGCAATAGAGACCATGTTGCCCAGAAAGCCTAAAATATTTTCTATCTAGTTCCTTCTAAAGAAAGTTTGCCAACCCTTGTAGTTTTTAAAACAGAATTCTGTTCAGGAAAAATAAAATCTGTTTTGTAAATTGTTACCAGTGTCACAAGGGATACTTAGTATCTTCCAGGAACCTGGAAAAATGTAAGTCCTCTAAGAGTTAAACAAAATATATAATATTCATGTAGAAAAAAATCAACCAAGAAAGGAAAATCAGAGTTGTAGGTTTGTTCTAATAATTATTATGTTGAAATATGACAGGTATATGTAAATGTAAAGGAACCAGTGACAGAAATATATAAAGTGTTGTTTATATGTGAAAGCATATAAGGACACTTACCAAAAATAGAAGATACTTTATTTAATAAAATTGTTTTTAGGTACACTGTTAGCAAGTGAAAAACTAATAAAGTATAATGAAGTTTAAAAAACAGTAAATCAAATAAATATGGAAAAAGGAAGTGGGCATAATCCTGTTAAAAAGACAGAGGGCTTCCACTTATTGATTTACCCCAACCACTGCTTTAACATACTGAGGAAAGAATCCCTCAATCGGAAGGGCCATGAAAGGGCCTTATGAATAGAGCATGGACTTGGGTTTGTCATAGAAGCAAATGCTGGTACTATATGTCATATAGTTAGGAATGCATTTAATGCAGGAGACAAATACCTGACCATAGGTTTAAGCAACCCAGGGTTTATTTTATTCATCTAACAAGAAATAGGAGGTAGGCAGTTGCTGGTATAATTTCAACAGTGGCAAATAGATGTCTGTAAATCCATTGGCCTTTCACTTGAATTGCTACTGAAGCTCCAACCATCATAGCTGCATTCAAGACAGGAAGAAGGGTTGAAGAGGGAGGGACAGGTGTCTTTCTCTTTTCTTCATAAGTATAGCTTTTCCAGAAATCTCCCTAATAGACCTTACTTTAGGTCTCATTGAACAGAACTGATCACATGTTCACTTAGTTGCATGGGATGCTGGGAAAGCCAGACATAGAAATGATTGTCCCCAATGGTTTAAACCGGTGTTCCTCAAACTTGCATGATAACGATCAGTTACCTGGGGGCTTGTTAAATATGCAGATTATCAGGACTTATCTCTAGAATGGTGATTTGTTAGGTCTAAGATTTTATATCTCTCTCTCTTTTTAAAATAAGGACCCCAGGGGATTTAATTTATTATTATTATTATTTTTGCAGTTTTGGGCCAGGGCTGAGTTTGAACCTGCCACCTCCAGCATATGGGGCCAGCACCCTACTCCTTTGAGCCACCAGTGCCCATCCCCAGGGGATTTTATATTCAGGAAAGTTTAGGAACATTGGGTTAGACTATTCATGACCTGCCTGGGTTTGGGCTTGTTGCTACCTAGACTGAAACTGTGTTTTGTTAAAGGACAGTGAGAGGAGTGGATATTGAATAGGCAACTAACAGTATCTGTAACAGCACCTAAACACAGTCCAGATTCATAAAAGTGTCTATTCTCTTGACAAGAGAAGCAAATAGAGTCCATCAGAACCTGACCCTATTCAGCATTCAAATTATGTAACTCTCTCCTTTTTCTCTCTCTGATTCTGTGCTCACTGAGCAAACATTGATGAATATAGCCTCCCAGAGTTTGGAACGAAGGAGAGGAGGTGGCACCAGCTACATGGTCACTAGAGAGTTGTTTTTTTTTTTTTTTTTTTTTTGTAATATCATTCATATAAATTTCACCATTTTAAATATACAATTATTCTGTAGGTTTTAATATAAGCACAATGTTGTGCAATCATCACCACTATCTAGTTTTAGCATATTTTCATTACACCAAAAAGAAACCCTACCCATTAAAAGTCATTCATCGGTTACCATGCTCCTACCCCCTGGCAATCAGTAATCTATTTTCTGTTCACATGGATTTGCCTTCTGTGCATAGTAAAATCAGACTGTATTAGAAAGTTTTCTTTCTCATAGTTGATGAATAATGGACATTGTTTCTGTGTGCTTCTATCTCGGAGTTTGGCTATCCTGAGACTCCCTGAGTTTTGTCATTTCTCAGCAGAGGCATGTTCAGGACTCAGGCCCTTAGAGTATGGGTTGGGCTGAAGCCCAAGTGAGCACACCAAAGTTACTACGTTCTGTGAAGGCTGCTGCAGCCTGCTGTTTGGCCTTTCTTCCATTGAAGGTGATCGTGTTCATAGTAATCACGACTGCTTTATGAACTCTTGCTTTATGCCAGTCACTGTAATGAGCATCATTGTGTTTCATTTTCACAGTGTCCCTGTGAAGTAGATAATATTATATCTATCTTACTAAAGAGGGAAATTGTGCTCACTGTCTGCCAGAGGTGCCAGGATTTGAGGTTAGGTTTGTGTGACTTCATTCATGGATTCAATGAGAATTTCTTGAGTGTATTCTGCATTTCAGACTCTGTGCTGATCTCTGAGGATAAAGCAGTGAGTAAGTGATTGAGTGACAGGCCTTAATCATCTTGGAATAGGATAGACAAACATGAAACAGATAATTAAAATCATGTATTTATTTTACTCCAGGTAATCCTTCAAGTGAAAGTTAAGGGACCTATGTGTGGGTATTTAGGGGGATCCTAAATGAGTCTGAGAGATGAGGCAAAGATTTCCAGAACTTAGGTTTAAACTGAAACTGGTAGATGAGGAGAAGCCAGGTAAAGGAAAAGCAGGAAAGAGTATCCCAGGATTTCAAGCTTTATCTCAGAGGCAGTGGGAAGACACTAATAAGTTTTAAGCAATACAATATCATGATCAGATTTAGTTTTAGAAACTGATTACTCTGGACAATTGTTGGAAGGCAGTGAGGGAAGAGACAGGAAGGCCAGTAAGTGGGCTGCTACAGTTGTCAATTTGCAAATGATAATGGCTTGGACTAGAATAGTCAGAGTGGATTATTGAAACAATATTAAGGATGTACAAGTGGAATGCCATGATGATTGATCAAATATAAAGGTGAGGCAGTGGGAGATGTTGAAAGTGGTTCCCA